CCCGTGTCCCCTGCATCGGCAGGCGGACTCTCAACCACTGCGCCACCAGGGAAGCCCTCTGCAATAACTTTTAATGGAGTAAAACCTATAAAGATACTGAATCACTACTCTGTACACCTGAAATTAACATTGTAAATCAACTATACTTATAGATAGATAGACAGATAGATATAATGTTTAAAACAAACCAAAAAACCGCCAGTCATAATCCCTTGGATGGCTCATCAAAACACAAATTCCCAGGTCCCACCCCAAGAGTTTCTGACTGGGGAGATCTGGGGTGAAGCTTGAGAATCTGCAATTCTAACAAGTTTCCAGATGATGTGATGCTACCAGTCTGGGGACTGCATTTTCAGAACCTCTGCTCTGACGGCCAGGGGACCTTTGCACATGGGATGGGAAACTGAGGCCCAGAAGGAGGAAATTAATTCCCCAAGATCATGGCAAATGAAGGGCAGACTAGAATCACAGCTACTGATTCGTGGGACTCTGTTCATTACATCAGAGATTCCCAGCCCTGACTGTACATTAGAAACACCTGAGGGCTTTTGGCAATGCCTGCCACTGCACCTGAGACCAATAAAAACAGAATTCCTAGGAGAAGGATCCAAGCACTGGTATCTTGAAATCTCCCATGTGGTTTGCATACACAGCCAAGATTGAGAACCCATTGGAAAAATGACTAAAGAAAACAATTTAGGTGATGACAAACAAACTTTAACTTTTCATGAAGTGGACTGTCTCCATTCAGAGATCTGCAAAATGGAGTGGAAGGCAGGAAGCTTTTGTAGGGTAAAGAATAATGAACAAGGAAGGGGAAAATAGAAAGTATCTGATTGGCCAGGGCCACAGAGTCAACCTTGTTTGGGATGAGAAGGAAGAGGAAATAAGTATAGAGCCTGGAATTTGCCTGGTGTTTGGGGATTAGCTGACTGGATATACTGCCTTTCTGGTCAAGGGGAGCCTTTACAGAGATACAAAAGTTATCCAAGTTTCAGTTTGCTGACATGGCACCCTGCATAGGAGCAGCTCCATCTCGGGCCCAGAAATTTATTTCAAGATGTTCATATGGTTACTTCGGTTTAAATTTTGAGAAAACACCAAACTGTTTTCCATTTCACATTCCCAGTAGCAATGAGGGTCTTTGTACACAAATTCCTAATAGCCTTTGTGGGGGTTGGGGGGGGTGGAGGGCATCTTGTCATTCTCAATGGAGGGGAAGAAGGAACCCCCTGGGGATAAAGAAGGAACCCTGTGGGGATAAAGGCAGGAGTGAACACCCTTGGGATTCCCAGAAGGAGTTCAATTCCAACACAGAAGCAACACTAAACAGTGAAGTGACTTTGGCAGGGACCAAACTGGACGATAAAACCATGGTTTCCCCTCAGAAAGAAAAGCCCTCAAAGAGAATGGCCCTGCCTAAGTTGCATGGTTCTTTCTCCCTCTGCAGCTGTCGGAGGAAGGAGAGATCGTCGATTTGCTACTGATGAAGATACTGTTTCCTAGGCATTAAATGTAAAAGACAGGAGCCTGGAAACAGCAGTGAGCAGCCTGAGTTGCTGTCAGAGGCCTGGGCCCCTCAACCTCTATCAGCTGTGCCCCAAATTTAAGCTGTTGGTCCAGGCACAATCATCTGTAGAGTAGGGGAGGGCCAGCATCTTAGGCCTACACTTACCAGTGATTCTATAATCTCTCCAGGTCAATATTTTTCTGTGTCCATAGAAGAGTTACCAAACCTGGCAAGCAAAGAAAAAAAAGGAAAAATACATACACACCTCCATACAGTTGCCACCACTATCATAGACTGTTCAAATATATTTTCAACTAGAAATATAACAAATATTGTCTGGAGTTCGGGGAGGGGGGAGTGGGAAATCCCCTCTACAGACTAATTATTTCATCTTCTTGGTCAGTCAGGAGTTGCCTTTGAATGATTCTAGTTCAGGGTTTCCTAAACTGTGGAGATGCTAATGGGTGTCATATTAGTTTGCTAGGGCTGCCAGAACAAAGTACCACAAACTGGCTAGCTTAAAACAACAGAAATTTATTGCTCCACAGTTCTGGAGGATAGAAGTCCAAAATCAAGGTGTCAACGGGGCTGTGTTCCCTTGGAAGGCTCTCTTTTAGCTTCTAGCGTATGCCAGCAATCCTTGGCGTTCCTTGGCTTGTAGATGCATCATTCTAACCTCTGCCTCTGTTGCCACATGGCCTTCTTCCCAGTATGGGGGCTGGGACTTCAACCTACCTCTTTAGGGGCCACAATTCAACTCATGACAGGTATCATCCTCCCCCAAATGTTTCTAGATCAAATGTGGGAAACACTGGATACACAAGTGATTTAGCATGGGAATTGTTAGAGCTTTTAATATGCTAAATGTGCACTGTGAATCTTCTGGGATGAGATGAATGTGAGCAATAAAGTGTGTAATGATTCCCAAACCCCTATGACCGTGGCTTCTGGTATTGAATCACTTCAGTCAGGGCTAGTGTTCCTTAGGCAATACTTTGGGAATCGTTGATCTACACCAGTGGTTCTCAATATTGGCTACACGCTAGAAACCCCAGACTTCATCCCAATTGATCAGAATGTATGGGTTCCAGGCATCAATATTTTTTAAGCCCCCCCAGATGATTCCAATGTGCAGTCAGACTTGATAAACATGCTTTAAATTCTGAGAACCACAGACCTAGACAATAAAAGTCTTCCAGGTGACTGTGTGGATAAGTACACATTTCCCCTCTCCTATGCAGAAGAAGCACCTCACGAATCCTCTCCAATTCACCCTGTCTTGTCTCTCCTCCTCACACACCCATTGTAGCAGATACTCTAGGTAGCCTGCCCCAAATCCATTCCATGCTTCCCTCCTTGCTATCAGAATCCCAATTTGTTCAGGTAGCCCCTACCCCTACCCCACATGACTCATGGTAAGGTGAACCTGTGGCCACGTCAAAGTAAATCTTGATTTGTCTTAGCAATAGCCCTTGACAGGGCTTCCCTGGTGGCGCAGTGGTTGAGAGTCCGCCTGCCAATGCAGGGGACATGGGTTTGTGTCCCGGTCCAGGAAGATCCCACATGCCGCAGAGCGGCTGGGCCCGTGAGCCATGGCCGCTGAGGCTGCATGTCCGGAGCCTGTGCTCCGCAACGGGAGAGGCCACAACAGTGAGAGGCCTGCGTATCGCAAAAAAAAAAAAGAGATGGGCTCTAGTGCTGGACATTGTCTGGTCTAAGACTGCTGGAACTCTGACAGCTACCTTGAGACCACGGGGAACAATCTGAAGATGGCAGAGCAGAAAGATGAGAGGAACATGCACACTTGATGAGGTCATTAAACAGCGAGTTTAAACATGAAGCTGAACTACTGCCAGCCTTCTATCTGGATGAGAGCTTAAATATCCTTTTATGATGGCTGAACCAGGATCCCTCCTAACTACCATGACAATCAAAAGCCAGAATCCTTTATAAACAGAGAGACACATAACGGGGCAATACACATAAGACCTTGGGGATTTATCTTCTATCCACCCCAAAGCCCATCATCCATTCTTTATTGTGTCAGGTATGAACATGAGCTATATAAGCAGATAAGCATCAAATAATTCATACCAAGTGCACACATGTCTCCTGAAAGTCTGGTACAGAAATCTACCCAGACACATACAGTCCGTTAGTTTAAACAGGAAAAGTTCTAAGATCTAGAGAAGTTATAAATTCTTCATTTCTCTTTCCCATCTTTCCCATCCACTCTCCACTTCTCTGTTGACTATAAATATCAAATTGGAAATTTCTTGCTGTGAGAGAGAAAAATATATCCGCTCAAAGAGATGAGAAGGCCCCCCTGAGACACCTGAAAGAAATGACCACCTGCATTTTCAGGTGCCTGTACCAACTGTGCAATGAGATGACTTTTCACATTCCAAACCATGGATGTTACAAAGATAATCAGACGAAAAAAATTTTTTAATCCACAATGCTTGTTACATTAAAAAAAAAAAGACACACTTCCTATTGCTTTGGCATAAGGGCCCACGACATAGCCCACACATTGATATGTGACCTTGTTCTTCATACCAAATGAGTTAGTGAAGCTAGGAATAAATATTTTAGGGCATGGCTTGCATTATGCTGCAGTGGCTTGTAACAAAACAATAAAAACAGAACACTGACATTATGGAAACCAGACAAGATCTGGAGTTTACAGTAGACCATTGTGAGCCAGTCAGCATCCCGAACAGCGGCAAGTAGAACAGAGCTTAAGAGCAGTTGATTGTGAATCAGACTGGAGGTCAAGTTCTGCTACTGCCACCTCGTAACTGCTTAAGTCATAAAATGCCTTCCTCATTCTACTCCTGGGAAAGTTAGTTAAACTTTCTGAGTCTCCAGCTCTTCATCTACAAAATGAGTATAATACCTACCAGAAGGGGTTTGGAGAAGATTACAAAGATAATATCTGCACAGTCCCAGCACATAACAAGGGCTCAATAAGTGGCTATGATTTACTCAGAGGAAAACGGAGCACAACAGCCCTTGCAAGCCACCACACACATATGCCCACATCCCCAATTTTATAAATGAGGCAGAATCTCACTGCAACATTTTGGTCGCCCAAACGCAAACACTCACTCACACACACACACACACACACACACACACACACACACACGCTTCAAGGTACTCATCCTGTAATACTGAAGGTGCAGAGATTGAAGTGTTTTTCACTCCCCCGTTTCTTTGCTGATTCATGCCCACTCCATAAAATCCATGTTAAAGGTGAGATCTTTCCTCAAACCTAATTATTTTGTCTCCTTGGATTGGGTGGGACATGTCTCCTGCTTAAGTAAGGAACTGATCATGCTGGGTCTCAACTCTCTGCCTTTTGATTGCTCCTGCAGTCCAGACCCCACCAAGAAGCCACTCCTACCCCTTCAACAAGTCCTTGCCCCTCTATGAGTTTCATGATTCTGTCTGTGCCCTCTTTGGGAACCGTGGGCTTTTTGGGATCTGTAAATAAAGTGGGTTCCTGGACTGTTTTCAATATTTCAAAAGTCAAAGAGAAACTTCATTTGTGTCACCGAGACTTTGGCCAATGCCCAATAACCATCTTTGGCTGGCATGATTGTTTGGACCTACTATGAATCCTGCTCTGGGTGACCTTGATCCTCGTAGAAGGGTGGGAACTAATCTTTTAACAGAACTGGGAGCACCCTGCCTTCCCCAGGGCCCAAGGGCACTGGAATGCGCTGGCCCAGCAGTACCACCCCTGAATGGAGCCCATTTCACCGCCCGGCTGGGTCGCGGAGGCAAGAAGGCCTGACCCAGCGCTTTCACTCGCCCAGAAGCAATGCCGGAAGGCGTGGCTCCACGCCTCCCGGGAGGCCCCGCCCCTGACGGCCGGCCCGGCCCGGCCCGCCCCCGTACTAGTCCCCGCCCCTCGCCGCAGCCCCTTCCGGGCCACAGGGCGTTCCGAGTGTCACGCCCCTCCCGCCTGCCACCCCATCAGGCCTGAATTCTATCAAACATTTACAGAAGAGCTAACACCTACCTTTCTCAAACTCTTCCAAAATATAGCAGAGGGAGGAACACCCTCAAACTCACTCTAGGAGGCCACCACCACCCTGATACCAAAACCAGACAAAGATGCCACAAGAAAAGAAAACTACAGGCCAATATCACTGATGAACATAGATGCAAAAATCCTCAGCAAAATATTAGCAAACAGAATCCAACTGCACATTAAAAACTCCGTGATCAAGCGGGTTTTTTCCCAGGAATGCAAGGATTCTTCAGTATATGCAAATCAATCAATGTGATAAACCATATTAACAAATTGAATGAGAAAAACCATATGATCATCTCAATACATTCAGAAGAAGCTTTTGACAAAACACAACACCCATTTATGATAAAAAAAAAAAAACCCCCAAAAAAGAAGCA